GGAAGCCTTTTAAGTTCACCGACTCTGATCATATTTAGACAAGGTTGTAGTCAAAGTGGAAGTTCTCTCCTCCCTTCAGAGAAAGGTACCTCCTTCTTTGATGACCTGTTCTTTCCACTGGGATCTCACTCGCAGAGGTCTTTCATTTAGTTGTTGTTGGTTTTTGTTTTGTTTTGTTTTGTTTTGTTTTGCCAGAGTGTCTTGGCTTTCCATGCCTAAAATACTCTCATGGGCTTTTCAGCCGGATCCCCATGCCTTAAGGGCTGATTCTGAGGCCAGAGTGCTATTTAGGACATCTGCCATTCTATGGGTCTGCTGTGTATCTCGCTTCCCATGATGGATCATTCTCTCCCCTTTTTTATTCTATCAGCTAGTATTACAGACACTAGTCTTGTTTATGTGCTCCCTTTGGCTCTTAGCCCTATCATTATGATCAATTGTGAACAGAAATTGATCGCTTGGACTAGTGAGATGGCATTGGTACATGCCACCTTGATGGGATTGAATTGGAATCCCCTGGTATGTTTCTAACTCTACCGTTTGGGGTAAGTCAGCTTGAGCATGTCGCGAACTGCACATCTCTTCCCTCTCTTATTCCCACTCTTATATTTAACAGCGATCACTTTTCAGTTAAGTTTCAACACATTTTGTAGGTTGTCTTGTCACTTTCTGATAGTGTTCCTTGAAGCGAAATCGTTCTTAATTTTGATGAATTGAACTTCTTTTTTGTTTTGTTCCTCAGCTTTGGTGTAATATTTAAAATTCCTTTGCCAACTCCAAGATCATGAAGATTTACCTGTATGTTTTCTTTTAAGGGTTACACAGTTTTAGCTCTTACATTTAGGATTTTTCCAATCCATTGTGAGTTAAAAATTTTGTGCATGGTGTGAGATAACTTCATTATCCAACATGTGGATATCCAATTGTCTCAGTATCATTTGTTGAAAAGATAATTCTTTCTCCATTGAATGTTCATGGCATCAGTGTTGAAAATCAGTTGACCATGGATGTACAGGTTAACTTCATGAAACTTCATGACCCTCAATTCTATTTATTGACCTATATCTCTGTGCTTGTACTTGTACCACTTTGTATTGATTACCATTACTTTGTAGTAATTTTTGAGACTTTGAAATGTATATTTATGCTTCCTTTTCAGTACTGTTTTGACTATTCTGGGCCCCTTAGAATTCCATATGGTTTTTAAATAAGTTTGCCAATTTCCTGAGAAATCAACTAGGATTCTAATAGAGATTATTTTGAATCTGTAGACCAAAGGATATTGCCATCTCAGCAATGTTGTCTTCTGATCCATGAATATGGGATATTTTCCAACTTATTTGGATCTTTAATTTCTTTCAAATGTTTTTTTTTAAGTTTTAGAGTAAAAATTTTAGAGTAAAAGTTTTATACTTCTTTTGTTATACTCTTAAGTACTATTTTGCTGCTGTGAATGAAAATTTCCCCTTAATTTCATTTTTAGATTGCTTTTTGAAAATATATAGACATACAATTAAAAAAATTTAATAACAACAATTATACATATGTATGGGGTGCAGTATAACATTTCTTGTTTTCTTTGTACTCTTAGAAGAAACATTGTGTATATACATACATGATGGAATATTATTCATCCATAAAAAGAATGAAACAGGACATTTGCAGCAACAAGGGTGAAACTGGAGATCATTATGCTAAGTTAAATAACTCAGAAACAGAAAGGCAAGTATCAAATGTTTTAATCTTATCTGTGAAAGTTAATATAGAATGTAAAAATTGAGTGGACAGGGCTGGCACTATGGCGTAGATGGTTAAGTCTCTACCTGCAGCACCAGCATCCCATATGGGTGCTGGTTCAAGCCCCGGCTGCTCCTCTTCTGACCCAGCTCTCTGCTATGGCCTGGGAAAGCAGTATAAGATGGCCCAAGTGCTTGGGCCCCTGCACCCTTGTGAGGGATCTGAAAGAAGCTCCTGGCTCCTGACTTTGGATCAGTGCATCTCCAGCTTTTGCAGCCATCTGAAGAGTGAACCAGTGGATGGAAGACCTCTCTCTCCATCTCTCTCTCTCTCTGTAATTCTGCCTCTCAAAAAATAAATCTTTGAAAGATTGTGTAGGTGTCATATGATTTGTTATATATTTATAGATATTGCTTCACTGAATCATATCACATATCTGAGAACAGACATTTCTCTCTCCATGTCATGAATTCTTCCTTTATTGATATTACATTTTCTGACTCAATATAAACAGTATATATGGGTATGTATGTAATATCTACAAACCAACTGAATAGCAAAATGTTAAAGATTATTAAATCTTATTTGTTTTTTAAAGAGAGAGGGAGCTCCTACCCATTGGCTCACTTCTCAGTTGCTGTCAACAATTTGATAGCCAAAGCTGAGTGCCAAAAATTCAATCCATGCCTTGCATTTGGGTGGTAGGAACAGAATTTTTTTTAAAAGATTTATTTATTTATTTGAAGGGTAGAGTTAGAGAGAGAGAGAGAGAGAGAGAGAAAGAAAGAGAATCTTCTATCTGCTGGTTCACTCCCTAAATGACGGCAATGGCTGGAGCTGCACCGATCTGAAGCCAGAAGCCAGGAGCTTGTTCCAGGTCTCCCACATGGATACAGGCGCAAAAACACTTGGGCCATCTTTTACTGATTTCCCAGGTCATTAGCAGGGAGCTGGATCAAAACAGGAGCAGTTGTGTCTCGAACTGACACCCATATGGGACGCTGGTGCCACAGGCAGAGGCTTCACCCACCAAGTCATGGCACCAGCCCCTGAAATTATTAAATCTTAAAGCTAAAAATATTTTATAAGATAACTTCTGATATTTTCCATATTTACCTCATATATATTATATACATATACAATATTTTCCTTGAAAACAGGGATATTAATATCACATAATGGAATTCATGACATGATCATAAATTGCAAAAAGAAGGGTTTACTGTCACATACAAGGTAAAATTTTTACATAGTTGAAAGGCAGAGAGAGAGGTTTCACACCAGCTGATTCATTTTTCAAATGCCTGCAGCACCCAGGAGCCCACAACTCAATCCAGGTCTCCCTCTTGAGTGGCAGGGACCTAATTATTTGAGCCACCACCTGCTGCCTTCTTGGGTATGCATTAGCAGGAAGCTGGATCAGAAGTGCAGTGGAGATTCAAAGGCAGGAACTCTCATACTCGATGTGGGTGTCCCAAGCAGTGTTTTCATTGCTGTTCTAAGTGGTTTTTCCACACATGGATTTTGAGGGTACAGAAATATTCAGTCCTTGAACCCAAAACCTCATCCCAACTGCTAGGAAGTTCTTGGGGTCGCAGGTATACAAACACAAAGAATTAAATTCCATCAACAATGGGACAAGGACACAAACCATGAACTCCAGGTGAGAACACAGCCAACTGGTTTCCTAGCTTCAGCCTCTGAGATTTGAGCAGATTAAAACCACAGTCACATGGCTGGTGTTGTGGTGTAGGGGCTTAAGCCACTACTTGTCATGACACATCCCATCCTAGCACCTGTCTGATTCCCCGCTGCCACATTTCAATCCAGTTTCCTGCTGATGTACCTAGGAAAGCCACAGAAGATGGTCCAAGCGCTTGGGTCTCTGCCACTCACATGGGAGACCTCGATGGAGTTTCTGGGTCCTGGATGTTGCAAGCATTTGAAGAATGAACAGTGGATGCAAGCGAGAACTCTCTCTCTCTCTTTATCTCTCTCTCCCCAACTTTACTTTTCAAAATAAATCTTTAGGAGTGAAACTGACACTTTTTGATACAATGATTTTGAACATCCTTTGTCTTGATTGTTGAGGAACACTGTTTTGTTTATTTCTTCTTTATACTTTTTGTTGAACTCTCTACTTAATATAAGGTTAATTTTATGAGTATAACATTAACTGAAGATTGATCTTTGGAAAAAGAATATAAGTCCTGGGTGGGGCAGCACTGTGGTTCAGCAGGTAAAAGCAGCCGCCTGCAGTGCCAGCATCCCCTATGGGTGCCGGTTCAAGTCCCGGTTGCTCCACTTACGATCCAACTCTCTGCTGTGACCTGGGAAAGCAGTAGAAGATGGCCCAGGTCTTTGGGACCTTGCACCTGTATAGGAGACCTGGAGGAAGCTCCTGGCTCCTGGCTTTGGATTGGTGCAGCTTTGGCCATTGTGGCCAGTTGGGGAGTAACCAGTGGATGGAAGACTCTCTCTCTCTCTCTCTCTCTCTCTCTCTCTCTCTCTCAGTCTCTCTCTCTCCCTCTCCTTCCCTCTCTGTGTAGCTCTGACTTCAAAATAAATAAATAAATATATCTTTAAAAAAAAAAAGAATACGAGTGTGGGAATGGGAAAGGGAGGAGGAAGGAGGGTGGGAAGAATCACTGTGTTCCTAAGTTTGTATGTATGAAATGCATGAAGTTTGTATTCCTTATCAAATTAAAATAAAAAAGAAATCTTGAGAAAACAAGAAATGAGAAAACGCAGTAGTGCCATATTTGGACTTCTGAGCTACAGAAAGGAGATGCAGCTACAAACAGAAAAGGTTGGATTTCATCAAAACTTTGAGTATGTTTGTTTGCTCATCAAAAAACCCCATGAATAAAATGGGTAGGAAACCCACTCATTGGAGAAACATAGTCACTAATTACTAGGGTACTTCAGAAAGTCTGTGGAAAGATAGATCTAAAAGTAAGCTTATCTTAGTACAAATGTTTTTAGTAACCATGTATACCCACAGTGTTCAAAAGTTCATGAGAATGCTTCTTGGGAAACAATTATGTATGAATTTCACATTTTTTGCTGCCCAATAAATATCTTAAATTCTACATTCCAAAAACTTTTTATTTGACAAATAATATATGATATATATATATATATATATATATATATATATATATTTGAGAGAGAGAGAGAAGAGAAAAAAAATATCTTCCACCTGCTGGTTCACTCCCCAAATGCTTGCAACAGCCAGGACTGGGGCAGTCTGAAGCCGAGAGCCAGGAGCTCAATCTGAGTCTCCCATGTGGGTGGAAGGGACCCAAGTATTTGCACCATCATTGCTGCTTCCCAGACTGTGCACTAACAGAACAGGAAGCAGAACTGGGACTCAAACCCAGGCAAATTCAAACTCCCATGTGGGATGCAGGTATCTCAACTGTTGGACCAAATGCCAGATTCCTGACAAAGAATTCCATTCCTTCTACAAATCAAAATGAAGAAACAGAATAGGAAGTGGGCAGAAGACTGGAAACCATATTTTATAAAAGAACATCTACAAATTTCCATAAGTAAAGCACCCCCATTGGAACCCAGACAGCAAAGCCTCAGGGTCCACTGTAGGAAGTGCTCTGTGCCCTCACTCTAGAATGCACTCGTCCTGGCACAGGGCCACCGTTGCTGTCACTGTGACAAGCGGCTGTGTAGAAGCTTCCTCAGGGCTCCCTTCATGTCCCTGTTCCTCAGGCTGTAGATGAAGGGGTTCAGCATGGGGGTGATCACTGTGTACAGAACCGAGGCAAACACCCCTGCCCAAGATGCTCGTGACCAGGTGGAACTGAGGTAGACCCCCAGGCAGGTCCCATAAAACAAGGAGACAACGGAGAGGTGAGACCCACAGGTGGAGAACACCTTACGCTTCCCTCCTGTGGTGGAGATCCTCAAGACAGAAGCCACGATCTGAGAGTAAGAGAAAAGGATTCCCACCAGAGGGAAAAAGCCCATGATCCCCGTGACAAGGTACAAGATGATGTTGTTGATGAAGGTGTCAGAGCAGGCAAGTTTGAGCACCTCAGGAAGTTCACAGAAATAGTGCGGGATTTCGACAATGGCACAGAAAGAGAGCTGCAATGTAGAGAGACTCTCGGGTAGGGCCCCCAGCACACTGATGAGCCAGGTCAGGAGAAGGAGCTGAGTGCAGAGCCTGGGGTTCATGATGTCTGTGTAGCGCAGGGGGTGACAGATGGCCACGAAGCGGTCGTAAGCCATCACCATCAGAAGGAGGTTGTCCAAGAGTCCAAAAACTGTGAAGAAGAACATCTGGGTGATGCAGCCCACATAGCTGATGGCTTTGCTCTGTGTCTGGATGTTCACCAGCATCTTGGGGACGGTGGTAGAGGTGAAGCATATGTCAGAGAAAGACAGGTTGGAGAGGAAGAAGTACATGGGCGTGTGGAGGTGGGGGTCTGAGAGGATGGCCAGGATGATGAGCAGGTTCCCAGCGACTGTCACCAGGTAGAGAGATAGGAACATCCCAAAAAGACAAGGCTGTATCTCTGGCTGCTCTGAGAGTCCCAGGAGGAGAAATACAGGAATCCTGGTGTGGTTTCCTGGTTCCATGTGAGGGGAATCCCTGCAAGGCAGAGGCAGAAACAAGGGTAAACAACTAACGGGAGTTTAGGAAATGTGATGACTTCTAACTTGAATCTGATGCATTGACAAAACCCAGTCCCTTCATAATGGTCCCTTCTTTTCTTTCTTTCAATGTGGAATTTACAAAATCCATCATCGTTGCCTTTGTTGCCAATCAGAGCTTGAAAAGCTAGACGCAAAATCTGATTTAGTACACAGAGCTGATTTCACCCGTCCTACTGCCCGACACCTGCTCTAGTCAGATTATGTCAACTCAGATGAATCTGAGTTACTCTGCTCTACTCTTAAATGCAACAATCATAACAGTTGGAATAATAGTTCAATAATCATGCATCTATGTGTGATTTCCATAAGTGGTAGGAATGCCACATTTTCCATGTTCTTGATTAATTTTTTCCATTAAACCCTACAAGAGAGGGCAGATGTTTCCTTATAGTGCCTGCAACCCATATCAGAGTGGCTGGGGCTGACACCTGGCTCCTCCCCAGGCTCAGCTTCCTCCTAAGGCACACAATGGGGGGCAGGGTGAGGGTTCAGGTAATTGAGCTCTTGTAACTCCTGTGTGACTCCTGGATTGTTTTCTGCTCTCAGATTTGGCCCCTTCTGTGGGATCCTTGTGGACATTCGGGGAGTGAACTAGCAAATGAGACCTCCATCTTCTCCTTTCCTTCCTCTGAAGTAAATAAATAAAAATAAAAAGGCATAAGAGACCAGTCATCAAGGATCAAATTGCATCATCACCAAATTTATCTACCTTGAGAGACGAAACACCAAATCTGTAATTTTGAATTTTCATCCATTTGCAATATTTAAATATTAGTTGTAACCTATTCTTTCTGTGTTTTCAATTCCTGTTATTCAGCCTGCTTGTAGTGTTATATAGCACAGTGGAAATTCATCAGTCCAAAATATCCCATTATATAGCTTCCGAGCACACAACAGAGAGGATCTCAAAGGCTCCAATTATGAAGTAGTGGTAAGGAGAGGGACACATTGATGGCCAGGATTTGACCAGTGCACATTGCCTACTTTTTTTAGAATCTCACACTATGTCCTGTATATGTGTAATTATTATGTGTTAACGAAAATTCCTTCAGTGTTTACAGAGATGGAAATGCTGGCTACCTTGACTTGATCTTCACATACTGCATAAATGTATTGAGTTTTCACATTGTCCTCCATAAATAGATGTAGTTAAAGTAATACAAAATACTTGGCTGAAGTAAGAGTGAATGAATTTTTCTGAATCTTCGTTATCCCTGATACCAAAATACAGCAGCAGCATGAAAATAACTCAACTCAGAAAGACAAGTTTCTCGTGATCTCACTCGTATGTTGAGATGATCTCACAAAAGTTAGAATATGAGACCAGGGAGAAAGGAAGAGAAGGAGAGATGTCAAAGTATTGATTGATGAGTACTGAGTTATAGATGGGTATGGCAAGAAGTTCCGTGAGTCTACTGCACAGTCGGTTGACTGTAGGTATCGCTTTAGTACTGTACATTTCTGTATTGAAAAGCCTAGAAGATGGGTTCTAGATGATCTCACTATACAGATCATATGAAATAATTGAGGGGATTGATTTTCCTATCAGTATGGAAGATCGCATGATGTGTTCATATATCAAAGCACCACAGAGTACCCCGGAAATATGTCCAAGCTTTGTGTCAAATTTCCATGCTCAACTATGAGCGCTTTTTTAATTTTTTTACATTTTATTCATTGTTTACGTTTTATTAGTTGAACACTTTAGTGCATCATGAAGCCTTTGAATATAATGTCAATTAAAACTAGGTTATCTCCAAAAATGGTAGATAAAATATTAAGTTGGAAAGATGATAAGAATGAAGAAAAGGGGGCCAGAGCCATGGCTCACTTGGCTAATCCTCCGCTTGTGGCGCTGGCATCCCATATGGGCACCGAGGTCTAGTCCTGGTTGCTCCTCTTCCAGTACAGCTCTCTGCTGTGGCCCGGGAGGGCAGTGGAGGATGGCCCAAGGGCTTGGGCTCCTGCACCTGCGTGGGAGACCAGGAGGAAGCACCTGGCTCCTGGCTTTGGATTGGCACAGCGCCGGCCATAGTGGCCATTTGGGGGCTGAACCAACAGAAGGAAGACCTTTCTCTCTGTCTCTCTCACTGTCTATCTGTCAAAAAAAAGAATGAAGAAAAAATGCATTTGCAAAAAATATTTAAAGCCACTCTCTAATTAACATAAATGGAAACCATTTCAATGAAATAGTTATAAAATATATTATTCATCCATGTGTAAGGCACAGTACCTACAGTGATGTGTAACATTTAACCAGAAAACACTGAACATTTCCTATCAGTGGCCGGTTTACTGTAGTACAGCTAGTGAGTAGAAAAATCATCTAGATACGAAGAATTATCTTGATAGATGCCAAAAAGACACTGTGTGGAAACAGTGCCAAGATCTTAACTGTGATGAAAGAGGTTTCTTAACCTTCAGCTAATAACATCCCTTATACATTACATGAGGAATCTCCATAAAGCTCCCAAAGGAACAAATACACCTGCTCCTGCTGCTACCCCGCATGGCCTTGACATCTCAAACAAATGTGACCAGAGAAGAAGCATTGAACACAGCTTCATATCTTAGGCAAGTGTAAACCCAGTTTACTTTCAAATGACAAAACTGGGAAGTTAAAATCCATCAGAAACCTATTCCAACTAGAAAAGTCATTTTGGTAAGATGCAATCATGACAGACAAATGAATACAATGGATCTTGATAAACATCATGGGAAATATATGTTATAAAAACACAATGCCTGGTTTCCAAAAACATTTTTTCCACCAAAATGCACTGATATTTTAATTCCATTTTGCCACTGATATTCTGGAGTGCCCTTTTATGTCATTTTCTTCTCTATTTACAGCAATAAACACATGTGTCATAGGGAAAATATCCTATTCAATAAAGCACAGGAATGTAACATACATAGACCTCTGGCTCAGTGAAGGTGGTTGGGAAATGAAATGAGTAGTAAATCACATTATGAACATCACCTGCAGAATCTATGGCAACTCCATCGGCTGAACCACCACATTTCACCTCCTTAGAAAGGCATGAGAGAGGCCCCATTCCTGCCTGCCTGTGGCAGAGACAATGGAGATGATTTGGAAAATTTCTCATGTGTGTGAATCAATGAAGGGGCTTGGACCCTTGGATATGCAACAGCCAGTAAGGCAATCAGGGAAGCCTGGCCCTGGGTGAGATGCTAGGAGTAACTCAGCATCCCTTGGGAGACGGAGGAGCGCTCTGCAGAAATGAAGTTAGAAGGAGCAGAGGGAAGATACAGATAGGGAGAGCTGGGGGTTGCAGTTAAAACCAGAAGCTCCTTCCATTGTTATGGACTAGACCTTTTTTAATCAATGGGTCTTCCTCATTTCCCTACTCCAAGCTACGCCCACAGATGAGCTGTCTTTCTGTTCCTTTGCTTTATTTTCCAAGAACTTACTGTGCTCTCTTGTGGTGGCTTGCAGATGTGTTGTAATCTTTGTCATCCCCAGCAACTTCACAGTACAGGCAGCAACAGGATCCTCATCATTGGGGGAAGGGGTTCAGTCAGACAAGGGCTCATGGACCACAGTGATGTTTCAGGAGGCCTGAGAGAGTATCTGCTTTCTGTGGATTGGTGAACTGAAGGTGAGAGCTGGAGGTATAATGTTTGCTCAGCTCCAGAACCTGAATTCTCACAGCTTCTCATTAAGTCACATTTTCAAATGTCTTACTCTCTAAGCAATATAATTGTTAGCTATCTTGGGACTATAAATGAATGGAAACATCTCTGTCCATTAGGTCCTCTCAAGGGTATCTCTGATGTCACAAGAATGTGCACCCTCTCATTGGGGCCATTAAGAAACTGCTTCTTAAAACTGTGAAATGATGCAAGGAAGGGATAGGCATTGTGACACTTCAAAAAAAAGTTCTTATAAATGCACAATATTAACAAGCATGGTTTCATGACTGGTTTGCACTTAAATAAACTTATGTTTTCAATATTTAAAATATATTTTCAGTTTTTTAGAGAGGCATAAAGACAGAAAGAAATAGACAGACATACAGACAGATGATATGGCTCCCATCTAGTACTTTATTTTTTTTTTATATTTTTTATTTAGTAAATATAAATTTCCAAAGTACAGTTTACGGATTAAAATGACTCCCCCCACATAATTTCCCTCCCACTTGCACCCTTGCCATCTCCCGCTCCTTCTCCCATTCTAATCACATCAAGATTCCTATTAAATTATCTTTATATACAGCAGATTGATTTCATATATATTAAGTAAAGATTTCATCAGTTTGCACCCACACAGAAACACAAAGTGTAAAATACTGTTTCAGTACTAGTTATAGCATTACTTCACATTGGACAACACATTAAGGACAGATCCCACACGAGAAGTAAGTACACAGTGACTCCTGTTGTTGACTTAACAATTTGACACTCGTGTGTGTTTCTGGCATCAGTAATCTCCCTAGGCTCTAGTCATGAGTTTCCAAGGCTATGGAAGCCTTTTGAGTTCGCTGACTTCGATCTTATTCTGACAGGGTCATAGTCAAAATGGAAGTTCTCTCCTCCCTTCAGAGAAAGGTACCTCCTTCTTTGATGGCCTCGTTCTTTCTACTTGGATCTCACTTGCAGAGATCTTTCATTTAGGTCCTCTTTTTTTTCCAGAGTGTCTTGGCTTTCCATGCCTAAAACTCTCATGGGCTCTTCAGGTGGATCCGCATGCCTTAAGGGCTGATTCTGAGGCCAGAGTGCTATTTAGGACATCTGCGATTCTATGAGTCTGCTGTGTATCCCACTTCCCATGATGGATCATTCTTCCTTTTTTATTGTATCAGTTAGTATTAGCAGACACTAGTCTTGTTTGTGTGATCCCTTTGACTGTTAGACCAATCAGTATGATCAATTGTGAGCTGAAATTGATCACTTGGACTAGTGAGATGGCATTGGTACATGCAATCTTGATGGGATTGTATGGGAATTCCCTGTCACGTTTCTAACTCAACCATTTGGGGCAAGTCTGATTGAGCATGTCCCAAATTGTACATTGCCTCCCTCTCTTATTCCCACTCTTATATTTAACAGAGATCACTTTTCAGTTAAAATTTAAACACCTAAGAATAATTGTGTGTTAATTACAGAGTTCAACCAATATTACTAGAACAAAAAATACTAAAATGCATAAAGTATTACATTGTACATCAACAGTCAGGACAAGGGCTGATCAAGTCACTGTTTCTCATAGTGTCCATTTCACTTCAACAAGTTTCCCCTTTGGTGCTCAGTTAGTTGTCACCGATCAGGGAGAACATATGATATTTGTCCCTTTGGGACTGGATTATTTCACTCAGCATAATGTTTTCCAGAATCCTCCATCTTGTTGCAAATGACCAGATGTCATTGTTTTTGACTGCTGTATAGTATTCTATAGAGTACATGTCCCATAATCTCTTTATCCAGTCTACTGTTGATGGGCATTTGGGTTGGTTCCAGGTCTTAGCTATTGTGAATTGAGCTGCAATAAACATTAATGTGCAGACAGCCTTTTGTTTGCCAATTTAGTTTCCTTTGGGCAAATTCCAAGAAATTTGTCTGGGTTGTATGGAAGGGTTATATTCAGGTTGACTTCCATAGTGGCCTTACAAGTTTGCATTCCCACCAACAGTGGGTTAGTGTCCCTTTTTCTCCACAT